TTTGCTAAGACTTTGACTGCATGAGGAGGATGTTAGGCAAATCCTTTCGAATAACTTTGTCGTACTCTATATATGACTCTGAAAGAAGTTTCCTCCCGACAACCATGTTGATAAGTGTTCATGCGCACGTCTAGACAAAGTCTTCAGTGGTTCTTTAACTGAAGTCAGTTGGTGATTAAACTTGAATTCAATTAAATCCCCGCAAACCAACACTTCAAGATAATAATAATAATAATAATGACTACATCGGTGGTTCGTCGATCGAATACTAGCCAGCCAGGAAGTGGAAGGTATGCGTCCGATTCCCGGCCGATACACTTCCTAACCTTGCCTAGCTTACTTAGCTGGTAGGTAATTATTATTATTTCCTTTAATTCCTAGAGGAACATAGAGCTTCAGCCGCGCGTCTCCATTGTGTTCGGTTCTCTGCTAAAGTTTTCACCTGGCTCTAACTCTGCCCACATGTTTCATCTCCTCTTCACATGAACTCCTCCAAGTCACTCTTACACCGACGACCAACTCGCCGCTTCCCTTTCGGATTCCACCCAAGAGCTTGTGTAATGATGTCACTTGATGGTTTCCTCAGAGTATGGCCAATCCACCTCCATTTCTTCCTGCCTATTTGTTTCACAATCGGTTAGTGCTGCGTTGGTTCGCTCATTGCCAGAGATCCCAATTGCTGATCTTTTCTGGCCGGCCATCTGATCTTGAGTAGTACTAAGAGAAGACAACTGTTAATGAAGGTCTGTAGTTTGTTTGAGGCGCTCTTCATGACGTATCAAGTCTCTGAACCGTGTTGTGAGTAGCACTGACTTCACATTGGAGTTGAAAATCCGGATCTTATTTTTCATGCTGAATGCTGTTGACCTCCACACAGACTTGAGAATAATAAAAGCTTGTCTTGCTTTCCCGGTCTTTGCTTTGATATCCTCGTCAGTTCCGTCCGCCTGTCTGTCTGTCTGTCTGTTTTCGACATAGAACTTTGCACAAATGTGCGGAAGTTCAAGTCGCCACATTCCGTGTAGCACGCGAAGCAAGAGAAGAAAGTACAAGAAAAGCATAATACAGACAGTGAGCAGAGGTGTGAGACAAAGGAGTAATACAGAAATACAAAACAGTTTCATTGAAGATCATAAGTCACAGGGAGTGGATGCATCTGCGCTAGCCACTGAGAACGATGAGTTTGAGCCATGTCACCAATTGTTTCCAACCATAGATTTTTACCGTCCCGAGGACCCCAGCCTGGAAGTCTACACCTTCCTACGTGGCTAAGACCAACTGTTGTGGATTTCATTGACTGATGCCAAGTTTTTGTTTGAACGCCGCTAGCTTTTTTCCAGCCTGACCCTATATCCGCTAACATAGCTCGTCGAGGGAGGCGATGACTTGGCATACGTAACACATGTCCTAACCATCTCAGTCGATGTAGCTTCACGACTTCGTCGATTGATTTCCCTGTAGTAAAAACGATGCTTCCCAAGTAGGTAATAAGTTCGGTAAACATCGACGGGGGTGGGTGGTTAAGGGATGTGAAACTAGCTATTTCACTCTGTAAAAACACCACCACCACCATTGGAATTTCAAAGCTTGAAGACCTGCGTTCCACTCCCAAGGCAATAGAAAGAGACAAACAGAAGCAGTAGTAGTTACTAAAACAATACATCCCTTAAGAAACTGAATAAATCCTCCCCACACACAAGGTTTTTTGCTTTAGATATCATTTTGAATATTTCGTGTAGACGGTTCAATGGAAGGATGCTTACCAACTCACTTAAATTGTCCAGGATAAGGCTCTCAGCCCAATCCCCTCTAAGTCTCCCTTAGCAGCAGCCCAGTAAAGAGGGAGGGTGGGCGTGAGGTTAGCAACGCCGCTTCTCGTAATAAAAAATAAAGAATAACACCACTGCTACTAAAGTGTCAGGGCTCAATGTTCGAAGCCCTTAGTCTCCACCCCCCCCCACCACAAGGCAAAGCAACAAGACAAAATTAAAATATGTCTTGAGTATTTCATAAAACTATCTACTACTGATTCATTGAGATGAGTAGTTGTTGTATACCACTTATTATCAGCTAGTAGTACTTGCTAGTTAGTCAGATCGAAATCATTTTAACACGGGACTGCCGTTTCGCTCGTTTCGAGTTGAGCTAATCAGCTGTGTGCCATAGTTCCACCCAGCTCGGAGAGTCCCATCTGACTGACTGACTGGTTTCAGCGTAGAACTTTGCACCGATGTGTAGCAGTTCGAGTCGCCATGCTCCCTCCTTGTAGCACACAAAGCAAGAGAAGAAAGTATAAAGAAATGCAAAGTAGAGACAGTAAACAGTAATATGAGGCAAAAGTATATTGTAAGTCACAGGGAGTGAATGCATCTAACTCCGCCACCCATTGAGATCGATTTTAAGCCATATCACCAATTGTCACCAGCTACCACTGGTTTTAACCATCCCGATGACCCCAACGAGTCAAGAAGTCTACACCTCCTCGCATAACTCAAACTAACTGTTGTGGATTCCATTGACTAATGAGATTATGTTTTGGTTTGACCACCAATAGCTCTTTCCAGTCTATATCAGTCACTTAACATTGGTCATTGAGGAAGGCAGTGGTTAGATATGCGTAACACATGTCCTAACCATCTCAATCTATGCAGCTGCTTCACAGCATCGTCGATTGACTTACCCTCCTTACCTAGAACTCGACCGATGTTTAACCTCAATATTTAATCACCTTATCATACCACTTTAACACACACGGGAGATAGAAGGCAGGCTTTCGATCATAGATGTCTGCGATCTCTGTCTCACGTTAGGTGGTTTAATAAGGTAAGTAATGTTGACGTTAGGCGTAAAGTGTTGGGCAAAGAGGGAAAATCAATCGACGAGGCTATAAAGTTACATAGACTAAGATGGCTAGGTCACGTGCTGCGCATGCCTAACCACCGCCTCCCCCGACGGGCATTGCTAGCTGATATAGGTGCAGGTCGGAAAAGGGTAAGTGGTGGCCAAACAAAAACATGGCCTCATCAATCCATCAAATCCTTGACAGTTAAACTGAGACAGGTAGGGAGATGCAGACTTCCAGGTTGGGGCCCTCGGGACTCTAGGAATCAATGGCTCGAGACAATAGGTGACATGGCTCAAAATTGTTGTCAATGGCCAGCGCAGATGTATTCAGTCTCTGTAATCTTTCATATTCCTTTCTACCATTACCCATTCTGTTTCACTCTTATACTTGTCAAACTCTATTGATTCTCTTCACTCATCATCTTCTTGTCTACCTCTGTGTGCTATTTGGAACGTGGCAACTTGAACTGCTGCACTTCGGTGCCAAGTTCTATGTTGAATCCAGACAGACAGACAGAAGGCAGGCACCTATAATCAAAGACAGCTGGCTAGCCAGGCTTTTCATATCTCCCACTTTCAATGGCCATGTCTCACTCACAGCTATAAAGCAGGACGGAACGAACTGCTTTGCTGAACAGTACACACACCCTTTGGTCGATAGCCAGTCGGATATCACGTCGACTAAGCCAGAGACCGTGTAAACTGGCATATGCGAAGCGAGCTTTCTGTATCCGTGGCTAGTTAGCAAGCACTACTGGCTAATACATAAGCGCTATGTGACTACCCTATCTCAATCAATCAGTTTTATGTATATAGTTTTATGCGAATATGCTTGCTTTCTTGATCACCGTCATCTATAGTATCAAACAGCAGATCACTTATAGTGGTGATCTGAATAAATTGGTTTCTAGAGGAAACCAAACAGAGAAATTTCACCATTCGAGTTTGTGTCGATCGCAAATTTTGAACTTGGCTATTTCAGTTTGTAAACTAATTAGACAAAACAGTCCCGAGTAGAAGGCTTTGTGTGCTTTCGAAGCCCATTCATTACTCAGGACTCATAGCTTAAAAATAGGCAAGAGTAAAGTGGTAGAGTACGTTGACCGTTTGGAAAGTTTCATCATCCCCAACGGGTTGATCTCTGATGGATACAGAGGGCCAGTTTCGTATATGCCAGTTTACGACGTCTCTGGCTTAGTAGACGTGATATATCCGACTGGCTATCGACCAAAGGGTGTGTGTACTTCTCAGTGCAGCAGTCCGTTCCGTCCTCCTTTATGGCTGGCTGTGAGATATGGCCATTGAAAGTGGAAAATATGAAAAGGCTAGCTAGCTAGCTGTCTTTCATTATAGGTGCCTGCCTTCTATCTCCCGTGTGTATTAAGTGGTATAATAAGGTGAGTAAATATTAAGGTTAGACATCAGTTGAGTGCTAGGTAAGGAGGGGAAATCAATCAATGTGAAGTTACACCAATTGAGATAGTTAGAACATGTATTATGCAATGTTAAGTGACTGATAAGGGGTAGATAAGGTTAGAAAAAAGCCAATGGTGGTCAAACCAAAACATGGCCTCATCACTCAATCATATCCACAACAGTTAGTTTGAGTCACGGGAAGAGGTGTAAACTCCTTGACTGGGTGGGGTTCTCGGGATGGCTAAAATCAATGGTGGCTGGAGACAATTGTTGATATAGTTCAAAATCGTTCTCAATGGCTGATGCAGATGCATCCACTCTTTGTGACTTATAATTTCAAATGAAACTATATTATTCTTCGATATTAGTATTCCTTTTTTCTTATATCTCTGTCTACTGTCTCTATTTTTCAATTCTTCTACTTTCTTCTTTTGGTTTGTGTGCTACAAGGAGTGGAGTATGGTGACTCGAACTGCTGCACATCGGTGCAAAGTTCTATGTTGCAGACAGACAGACAGTACCAAGTAGAGTAGAGTTGAGTTGAGTGGAAATATGTCTGTTCCTACAAAATTGAGAAAAGTAGAAAAGTGAACTATCTTCAACTTTTAACTGGGAATGATTATATAATATAAATAAGCGCGTCACTGTAATTACAGTATATGATTTATCAGCTTTAAAATAATAATAATAATAACAATAATAATAATAATAATAGAAAGAAAGAAAAAAAGCCAACTCACTTAGAAATACAGTTAGACAAGCTTCTGGTTGAATAACCACTTTACTATGATAATTGCATGAATTACATGTGACACGACTAGCCACCAGTGTTTGCTCAAATGCTTGAGTTGGAAATGTATCGCAGAGGACTGACTGAAATTTTATACTTTCAATAGCTGAACAATACGAACGACAGAGAACTATCTATTTTTTGTTAAAAAGAAAAACGATAAAAATTGATCAATTTAACCATAATCTGTAAGGACAAATTTATACTCAAAAGAAAATTGGCGGCGAAGAAATATACAATATTCCTTCTTAAATTGTTAACCTCACTAAACACGACTTGATATGGTCGAGCGTGAGCAGACGTCTCTGTCATTCTGTCTGTCTCTCTCTCTCAAAATGCTCTCCATTTGGTGACGTACGTCCTTCTCACCCCGCTGCCTTCAAGTGGCGAGGAGTGTCCCTCACAGAAATAAAAGGGTAAATGCGAGCTGTCAGGTGCATACAACGGACTGGGGAACCATGCTGGTTAATCTAGAGGGGCTGGGAACTCTGACTCCCAACCTCCAAGGTGTCCCTCACAAAAATCGAAAGGCAAATGCAATTTGTCAGGTGGGCTGGTGGACCATGCTGGTTTACCTAGGGGAGCTAGTAAACTCTGATACCTAACCTCCGGTGGACATCAGCTCCGGAATCCGAAGGGATCAAATGGTGTATGCATCTGTTTTGGTCACCAGCAGCAGCTAGGACTGCCGTTTCTGGATCAGAATTCAAGTGTAAGACTAGAGTCTAGGGTGGCTCTCTAAGACAACCATCTTGCTTCTGGTCGATCATCTGGGTAGTTTTGTATTTTGATAATGATAATAAGTTCCTCATCAATAACTATATATATATATATATATATATATATATATATATATATATATATATATATATATTTAGAACAAAATATTTAGAGCGAAAAATCATCGCTTTCAGTAAATTCTTCTTCAGGCTCTACAATTATAAATCCATTAATTTAAGCATACAATAAGCAGTAAAGGCGAATTAGAATCATATCAGAAAGCTAGGAGTCAACGTATTCGACTCCTGTAGTATCATCTTACATTTGACAGCAGGAGCGAACCGCATGCCAAACATTCGTAGATTTCTGGTCAAAGTGTTCAGAGGACTCTGCTCTATTTTGTCAGCGTCTTCACCTAGGAGGGGGGGGACTATATCATATGCATATTCTAAGTCAACGAGATTATTTCCCCGGTGGTAACAAGTCAATCCCTGAATCGCTGAAATCAGTAGTTACGGTTAAGTACATCTATGAAGAAATTAAAAACAGAATTGGAGTCAGTGAGCCTCCCCGATGGATGAAGAGTAAATATTGTTATGCAATAAAATCTCACACACACAAAAACATCAAGAGGTAGTGTCCGCCAACTAACTAACTAACTAACTGAGATAACTTAAGCACTACTAAACACGCCTACACTTTACTACTCATCATTTTCAACCAATTAATACTGAGTATTTTACAAGTGAAATGAATAAACAAGAATCAATAGACTCACTCTTTTATCATTTGAAAGACTGAAATTGAAAAGATCACTTGTCAGTCTAGCAGAAGTTTTACTCAGAAAATTATTATCCAAACTGCAGATACGTTCCATAATGAAACCAAATAGTTCGTGGGCATCCTAAGATGAAGTGAAAAGAAGAAGGGTTTAAATAACACAAGTCTTTATTTAGCAGACATTAACAAATACCTTTAAGAAGCTTATAAACATTTATTTGAACATTTAACCATTGACAATGAAGTATTAACCCTTACTTAACATTTTTACTTTGATTATAGCTTGATTCCACACCGTATTTTGGCGTAAGTATGGAATTTTCAGCATGTGATATCGGTAGCCCAAAATTTAGCAGGCTGACTATTGATATCAGGTATGCGTCGGATCGGGGGATCGAATCCCAGACTATATGCATGACCACCGAACGTCCTAACCGCTGTGCCACCGACGCACAGTGAAAACGTAGATGAAAAAAACACATATTGAGTTGTTCAATTTGATCACTAGAAAGATGACGATCGGTGTATGTAGTTCACAAATGCTTGCCGTTCATCAAGCATTACAGATCACACGACTGAAATACGTGTCCACGAAAAACTAGGTGATGGTAAGAGAGTGTGATGAATTTAAATTTAATACTGCTTAAACTTTGAGTAATAGTCATTGCAAAGCCAACTGGTTCAGGATTCGATCTCCGGCTGTTGTATTCCTACATTTCGTTTAGCCAGTAAGTAAGAAAAGTTAAAAGAGAGATTGCTGAACGTGAGACTAGCATCCCGGCCAGCAACCCGGAGAAAAAAACCATACCACTGCTACTAAAACTTCAAAGCTCAAGTTTTAAGACATATGTTCCACTTGAGAAGCAAAGGAATAAAAAAAGAGTTGTTTTGCTTAATTTCATGCTATTGCGCTTGTTGGAACTCCAGTAGCTGTTTTGATTGCTTGGTGATATGATGGTATTAGATGGTTGGAGGCAATCGGCCACAGGAAGCCCTTGCTCGAACAAGCTTTCATGCTAGTTGGCACTCACCAGTCAGCAAGTCGTATCTGCAACCTTGAAGGAACTCATATCCCAGTGCTGCAGTCAGAGACGTTACTACTGAGCTATTCGGGACTTGAGTTCTTTCAAGGTGGCAAATACGCTTTGCCAACAAGCACGAAGCCTAGGTCACGCGAGGCTCCCTGTGCCCGATCGCCCCCAACCACCAAAAATCAACAATTCAAAGTCAACCGTGATAGCAGATTACCCTAGAATGGTGGCCACACTGCAAACTTGACTAACTGATAGAATTCAGTCTGCACCAAACAGAGGACCAGACATATCATACTAGTTTACTAGTGTCCAATCAAAGTACATGAAAAGCTTGCTGAATGCATACACTTAATCTTTTTAAAACCATGAATATGTTTCTTTGTGATATCTATAGCAAGTAAATAGGAAACTAGCATATGTGTTTTCGAAGGTTTTAAATAATTTGAAAAGTTCAAAAACGCCTAACTCAACATGAGTAACAGTGTTTGAGGTATCTCAAATAATGTTAATTAACACTACAGAGCAGATAGTGAATCATGTCCGATGGTTGGTGACAATTAGTTAAGAAATTATGGACGTAATTTTCATGTTTCTTGACTCCTGTCCAATGGATTGACACACTTCACTCAACACTATTATTACATTACTGTATTATTTTTGTTTCCTTTAGTTCCTAGAGGAGCATTGGGCTTCAATCGCCCACGTCTCCATTGCGTTCGGTTCTCTGCCAACGTTTTCACCTTGTTCTGAGTCTGCCAACATGGTTTCAATTCTTCGCATAACTTCCTAATTGTCATCCTTGGACGACCAAACCGCCGCTTCCCTTTCGGGTTCCATTTGAGAGAGAGTCTGGAGTGTGATGTCACTTGATGGTTTTCTCGGAGTATGGACAATCCGCCTACCAGGCTACAAAGGACATCTTCATTGCAAGCATAAAGGACAAAGCCGAGACACAAATCAACACTAGCGAAGAGGTCGGCGTTGAAAAGCACTGGAACAACTTGAAAACGGTGTGGAGCCAAACCTGCATAGAAATTCTAGGCAGAAAAAAGAGACAGGACAAACAGTGGCTCACTACGGACACTTGGAAACTAATAGAAGAGAGAAGGACAGTGAAGCAAAAGATTATCCAGTGCACGGACGAGCAACAAAAACAGGAGCTGAATGCAAGCTACAATACACTGAACAAAAGAGTGAAGAAAAGTGCCAGGGAAGACAAAAGAAAATATTATGAAACCATGGCAAACGAAGCAGAACAAGCTGCAGGCAAAGGAGACCTCGCCACACTCTACCAAACAACTAGGAACCTTTCGGGCAAACGTTCGACACAGATTAAGCCAATAAAGGACGACAATGGAAAGTCAATCACCAAAGAGGTGGAACAGAGAAAGCACTGGGTTGAACACTTCAAAAGACTTCTAAATCGTCCGCCACCTACAACACGTCCAGCAATACCAACAACGGAAGCAGAACTACCAGTGAACACTGACCCCCCGACGAAATCAGAAGTCCTGAATGCAATCAAGATGCTTAAAGCTGGGAAAACACCGGGACCAGATGGAATCCCAGCAGAGGCTTTGAAAATAGACCCAGAGACAACAGCGGACTTGATGACACCACTGCTGGAGAAGGTGTGGAAAGAGGGCAAAGTACCCGAGGATTGGAAGAACAGTTACTTATTCAAACTTCCAAAGAAAGGAGACTTAAGTCAATGTAAAAACTGGCGTGGAATTATGCTTCTGTCCATTCCAAGCAAGATACTAAGTCGCATCATCCTGGAGAGAATCAAACAAGCCCTAGATGAAAAACTTCGTCCGGAACAGGCTGGATTCAGGAGAAACAAATCATGTATTGATCAAATCGCCACTCTACGGATCATCATTGAACAAAGCTTGGAATGGCAGTCACCTCTCTATCTCAACTTCATCGACTTTGAAAAGGCCTTCGACAGCGTCGATCGAGAGGTCATTTGGAAACTACTTCGCTACTACGGGGTCCCATCGACAATTATACACCTCATCCAACAGTTATACGACAATGCTGCATGCCAAGTAATCCACAACGGGAAACTTACGGAAGCCTTCGAAGTGAGGACGGGAGTGAGGCAAGGCTGTCTACTATCACCAATGATCTTCCTGATTGCAATTGATTGGATAATGCGACAGACAACGGCAACCAACGAGGGAACAGGCATAAAATGGACTGACACAAAAGACTTGGAGGATCTGGATTTCGCCGATGATATATGTCTGATTTCCCATAAACTGGAAGATATGCAAGTGAAAAGTAACAAGTTGGCAGAAGAAGCATCAAAGATAGGACTTCACGTGAACATAGATAAAACAGAGATAATGAAGATTCCTAGCCAACATCAACAACACCAACAGACCACAATAAGCATAAATGGGAAGAACCTGAAAGAAACAACCTCCTTCACCTACCTGGGAAGCATCGTCTCAACTACAGGCGGAACTGACGAGGACATCAAAGCCAGAATCGGAAAAGCAAGACAAGCTTTCATTACTCTCAAATCTGTGTGGAGGTCAACAGCAATCAGCATCAAAAATAAGATCCGGATTTTCAACTCCAATGTGAAGTCAGTGCTACTATACGGATCAGAGACTTGGCGAGTCATAAAGAGCATCTCAAACAAACTTCAAACCTTCATTAACAACTGTCTCCGCTCAATACTCAAGATCAGATGGCCAGAAAAGATCAGCAACAGGGATCTCTGGGAGCGAACCAATCAGGAACCGATTGTGAAACAAATAGGCAGAAAGAAATGGAGATGGATTGGCCATACGCTGAGGAAACCATCAAGTGACATCACTAGACAAGCCCTCGAGTGGAACCCGAAAGGGAGGCGGCGAGTTGGTCGTCCAAGGGTGACTTGGAGGAGGTCATGCGAGGAGGAGATGAAAGCATGTGGACAGACCTGGAGCAGGGTGAAAAAGTTGTCAGAAAACCGAAGTCAATGGAGGTGCGCAGCTGAAGCCCTATGTTCCTCTAGGAACTAAAGGATACAATAATAATTATTATTATTATTTATTCCTGCAGATTTGTTGCACAGTCGGCTCCTGCTGGGTTGGTTCGCTCATTGCCATAGATCCCTCCTTGTTGCTGATCTTTCCTGGCCGGCTATCTGATCTTGAGTGGTGTTGAGCAAAGACAGCTGTTGATGAAAGTCTGTAATTTGTTCAAAGTGCCCTTCGTGATGCGCTGGCCAAGTCTCTGGTCCGCATAGTAAGTAGCGCTGAATTCACATTGGAGTTGAAAATCCGGATCTTATTTTTGATGCTGAGTAGTGCTGTTAACCACCACACAGACTTGAGAGTAATGAAAGCTTGCCTTGCTTTCCCGATTCTGGCTTTGATGTCCCCATCAGTTCCGTCCGCCTGTAGTTGAAACGATGCTTCCCAGATAGGTAAAGGAGATTGCTTCTTTCAGATTTCTCCCATTTATGCTGATTGTTGTCTGTTGTTGTTGGCCAGGAATCTTCATCACCTCTGTTTTCTCTATGTTCACTTGAAGTCGTATCTCTGATGCTTCTTCTGCCAATTTGTTGTTTTTCACTTGTATATCTTCCAGTTTTTGGGAAATCAGACATATATATGTCATCGGCGAAGTCCAGATCCTCCTCATTCAGCACTAAGCACAACTAATAGAAACCAATGTTATTTGGTAGATACTGACTAGTAATAGAATTTAGCATGTGAATGTCGTCTTATTTGGGACTCTTCAGGTGGATATACTAACAATTCCCAGTCAGTGATGCTACTCCCGCCGCAACTCGAACCTAGCATCCATCGTTTGAAACGCCCAAAGCGTTAACCACTAGACTACTGAAGCCTACCAGTTTCCCCTGCTCATGGTGTGGTGAGAGCAGGCTGCTAGCCGATTGGTTGGCACTAATCTACGTTAAGGTCTAGGTCACTAATATGGGCCGTGAGAAAATATGAACAAGGCTGAGTCAACAACCAATCACAGCAAAGTTAACGTGGCAAAATATGATTCGCAGACAGAGAACTCTATTTGTCAAGGAATCCCGAAACAACCAATCAGAAGCCTGCGTTTGTCTGCAACCAATCAGATGACTGCGCTTGTCTATAATAATGTAGTTGAAATATGTATAAATACGTGTTGATTTTCATAATAAAACGATCTGTTGCCTGGCCCTTGTCTTCTGTTGTTACATTTGGTGTCGCTGCCTACCGACAAATGGAAAGCCTATGCCCTGCTGTTTTTGATGGAGACATATGGATCTTCGGGCAGGACTTCAAGGCTTCTGCGCAGTTGAGTGGCGTTCAAGATCTGTCAGCGATGGAGCTGCTACTTGGGACGCTGCTGGGAGGTCGGGTGAAAGCAGCAGATGAAAGTGTGAGACGAAATACTGACGAATGTTCGACAGGGTCAGGCAAACAGTTTCCAAAGTGGGAAGGACCGCATATGGTCACTTCGAGATGGGATTACATGGACACAATCGCAATGACGAACAATGAGAGGCGCGTGAACGTCAGCGAGCTCCAGAAATGGATACAGCGAGACAAGCCAACGATGACGCCTGCACCAAGTAGATCAAGCCGACTTCAGTCGCACGTATTTGACGGGGGGACGAGTGTGGTGAGAGCAGGCTGCTAGCCGATTGGTTGGCACTAATCTACGTTAAGGTCTAGGTCACTAATATGGGCCGTGAGAAAATATGAACAAGGCTTATTCAACAACCAATCACAGCAAAGTTAACGTGGCAAAATATGATTCGCAGATAGAGAACTCTATTTGTCAAGGAATCCCGAAACAACCAATCAGAAGCCTGCGTTTGTCTACCTAACTTCTGATAAACAACCAATCAGATGACTGCGCTTGTCTATAATAATGTAGTTGAAATATGTATAAATACGTGTTGATTTTCATAATAAAACGATCTGTTGCCTGGCCCTTGTCTTCTGTTGTTACAATGGTACATTAACCAAAGTCAGGAAATGCTTCCAACACGGATACAAGAACACATTCCAGAATGGTTTTACAAGGGAAGAAGGGAGAGTGTAAGAAACTCTATTCTACAACAATTGAATGACTTCTGTCACTCTGCCAACTCTGATCATGATTTTAAGATTGGTGAAGGAACAATGGTTTTTGGTGGAATCTATACTACTATTGTAACACAAGGTGTACACGAAAGACAAGATATATTTTTCATTAATCAAACCGCGTAGACGAGATGTTCGACTATCGACCAAAGGGCGGGTCTACTGCTCATCAGTCCGCTCCGTCCTCCTTTATGGCTGTGAGCGAGACCTGGCCACTGAGAGTGGAAGACATGAAAAACCTGGCTAGCTGTCTTCGATCATAGGTGCCTGCGCTCTATTTCCCGTGTAAAGTGGCATAATGAGGTGAGCAACATTGAAGTTAGGTGTCGAGTTCTAGGTAAACAGGGGAAATGAATCGACGAAGTTGTGAAATTACAAAGACTGAGATGGTTAGGACATGTGTTACGTATGCCAAGTCATCGCCTTCCTCGACGAGCAATGTTAGCGGATATAGGGTCAGACTGGAAAAAAGCTAGCGGCGGTCAAACAAAACCTTGGCCTCACCAGTCAATGAAATCCACAACAGTTGGTCTAAGCCATGTAGGAAGGTGTAGACTTCCAGGCTGGGGTCGTCGGGACGGTAAAAATCTATGGTTGGAAACAATTGGTGACATGGCTCAAACTCATCGTTCTCAGTGGCTAGCGCAGATGTATCCACTCCTTGTGACTTATGATCTCCAATGAAACTGTTTTGTTCTTCGTTAATACTCCTCTTTTGTCTCACACCTCTCCTCACGGTCTGTATTATGCTTTTCTTGTACTTTCTTCTCTTGCTTCGCGTGCTACACGGAGTGTGGCGACTTGAACTGGTGCATATATGTGCAAAGTTCTATGTCGAAAACAGACAGACAGACAGAATCAAACCGCTATTTATATACATCTATACAGTTTATATTCGTTAACCAATCACTGAGTTTGTGATTTTGGTTTACATTAAACGACATGAAATAGAATGTTTAAATATACATATATATATAATGTAGCTAATGTCGAATTAAACTGTGGGAATATATGAGAATCATATTCTGTTAGCACAAATTGTCTGTATCACACCACCACACAAGCTACTACTACTATTTACGCATTGGTGTTTCAATATTAGAATGCCCACTAGCAACACTAGAAGAGGAACAAGTTCAATTTTCGGCGGATTTGTCACTAAACCTTGCCTAGTTTGCTAGCCGGTAGGCAGTAAGCCCCAAGGAAAAGAGGGAGCGTTACAACACGTGAGGTTTGCAATCCTACCCCCCCCCACGCCTATGAAATAGTCATCCCCAGTGTTACTAAGACAGACATCAAAGCTTGAAGATCTATGTACCACCACTGGCGTGAAGAAGAACAAAACTGTGGTTAGCAAAATCAATGAAAACAGATTGACGGTGAAAAACGATAACTACAAATAAAGTTCACGAAAGAAAACACAAATAAATAAGAAAAAGAAACACATTCTAACCTGTTGTTCATGAATTGCCCAATTTTGTGTATTCACTATATCATTGATTAATGCTTCATGTGCTTTTCTCAGCACAACATCTAATTTATGCTCTGTTATATACTGAGAAGAACATTGTAATCCTGTCAAAAAAATAATAATTACATTAATAACGCCACACATGAGAAATAAAAATACTAAAATTGAAAAAATAATAAGGGTAAAAAGGCAACTGATATGCATAAAACACAAAATAATTAAGTAAAGAATCTCCTTTTCGATAATTTCCTCTTCTGGTTCTACAATTATTGGATCGGGTTCCAGTGGCTCAATGGTCTACGAGCTCGCCTTGTAACCAGAAGGTCCTGGGTTCGAACCCCGGTGGGTGCGTACTGATGAAGAGTCCCAAACTAGGACGCGGGAAACAGCTGTCCAGTACTCCCAGGTTTTCCAGTGGTTCTCTAACTGATGTCAGCTAATGGTGAAATCATCCATACAACCAAACAAAATCCCTACAAAACCAATACTTGAAAATTATATATCTATATGTTTATGTACAAAGAATATTCTAGAATAGTAGCCAATAACAATATTAGTGTGTTTTTAAATAATATCGATTTGTTAAATAAGATCACAATGGAATTACAGTTGATTAAAGATGCTTTAATTATAATAATAATAATAATAAAGATATAGAAGCAAATAGAATATCAACTGAAATTAGGAAAATTCCACAAAAATTCAGGATCATTCAAACCTAAATGGCCAAGGTAAGGATAATAATCTGGACTAGCTTCTTTCGGACACATAAATTAGGCTTCTTAGTCAGGATCCCAACGGCCAATCTCAGCAATATTTAGTAGTCGAACTCTTAAGGCAAAATGGAGATATTTTGGTATGCGGTAAATGACTTTGAAAGCCGTCGTCTCGTAGACATCAATCTTGTGTTGTGTATCCACAAGATGAGATAGAATAGCACTGTGTGAATGGATTTTGTTTGTCCTTTACTTAACCAACCACTATGCAGGGTGATGTTCGGAAATTCGATGAGAAACACGCTTAATTGTACGGCGTATGCAACTAACTGGGCTTCACAGGAGCAGTGAAATTGGTAGATACACATGGAAAAGGCGAAATTAGGCAGTTTATCTTTTGCTTTCAAACCCAAAAGAGGAATTGTTTTGAAGACATAGCGTAATTCGGCAACATCATCGCATATCTAAGGCGTTGTGTTAATATCTCGTTGATGTTGTCCCCCAAGGAACTGGATTTGTAAGAATAAGGCCTTTTTAGGAACTGTTGGTATCTTGGGATGCTTTGATTATAGATTCATTTTCTTATCGATGAATCTTTCTAGATAACCATTTTCACTCAGCAACCATTTAATATTATTAAGTTCCTCATCAAGACATTCACTGATGAGCAAATCGCTCTTGCTTTGTGTAACAAGCACTTTATCAGATTGCGTTTGCATCTCAAATGTTGCCCTAATCTCATATCTCAGTACTGTCTGGATAATATGATTTTAAGAAGGCGTGATCGTCTATCGTCTTGTGAAAGCCGAAACAGTTATCCACACTGAAAAATTAAGAGGTTATAGATGAGATGAGATTGAACAGCGCTACGAATAGATTTTTTTTGTCCTTCATTTAACCAATATGCAGAGTGATGTTCAGAGCCAGTTACATAGGCCGTACAATTAGGCGTGTTTCTCATCGAATTTCCGAACATCACCCTGCATAGTGGTTGGTTAAGTAAAGGACAAACAAAATCCATTCACACAGTGCTATTCTATCTCATCTTGTGGATACACAACACAAGATTGATGTCTACGAGACGACGGCTTTCAAAGTCATTTACCGCATACCAAAATATCTCCATTTTGCCTTAAGAGTTCGACTACTAAATATTGCTGAGATTGGCCATTGGGATCCTGACTAAGAAGCCCAATTTATGTGTCCAAAAGAAGCTAGTCCAGATATTATCCTTACCTTGGCCATCTAGATTTGAATGATCTTCAATTTTTGTAGAAATTTCCTTAATTTTAGTTGATATTCTATTTGCTTCTATATCTTTATTATTATTATTATTATAATTTAAGCATCTTTAATCAACTGTAATTCCATTGTGATCTTATCTGACAAATGGATATTATTTAAAAAAAAACACTAATATTGTTATTGAGTACTATTCTAGAATATTCTATGTATATAAACATGCATATATAATTGTAGAGCCAGAAATTATCGAAAAGGATATTCTTTGCTCAATTATTTTTTTTATAGATTTCTGATTGAATATTTTCGCAATATTGATATATACAAATTAATAAACAACAATTATCCAAATGAGTCATCTTCAGAGGGTGTAGTACACAATGATTAATGGATATATGTGGAGGACTAAGTGATGCTTTGGCCAACTTTAACATGTATGTTTATCAGTTCGTCTGCACTTGTGAAGCTAGTTATATTGATAGGACGAAACACACTTTCTAAGACCATCTCAAGACGACAACACAAATCCGTTAACGGTTCAACTCTCAAGCACCTAGTAAACACGCAAGCTACACGCAGTCCCACCAAAGTCCTGTTTTCAAATCATACACAAGCCAAGTTGTAGACCTGTGGTTCATTAGTCTAGGCGCTCAATTTCCTTCCAACCAGTGGGTCACAGGTTTCAACTTCAATCCCACTAAGTGAGGTTTGAGTTACCAGGTGTCAATACTAACTCTCGAATAAAAGATGTGACTGATTGCCAACTTCATGGAATTGCGCCTGGTTGTCAAGTAACACTTCGAATGGTAAAAGGAGTGTTTTGTATCAACACTTTAGTATGGCAAAGCCGTTAGCGATTCGTCAATTTAGTCTAAAACTTTGTGTGCTGAAAAAGTTTGTTCAGTTTCTTATCTTACCACGATCGTAAACTCCAGTCTACTTATTTGCAAATCACTCTTACATACACCTTTTGTGCATGTTACTAGCTTTTTCCCCTATATTCTAACCTTCATTACACTTGTCAGCTGGATGTCCAATCACCTTACTTCTCAAATACAATAATATTGTAATGACAGAAGACAAGGGCCAGGCAACAGATAGTTTATTGATAAAACCAAACGACATTTATATATTTTTATGTACATTATTATTCTCTATTGTTGGCAGAGAAGCGACGTCTTCTGATTGGTTGATTTCCTGCTGAAGGTTATTCTGTACTATTTGTGGCCTTTTCTCAGAAAGTTAAGCCATATATCTGCAAATCATATCTCCACACGTTAACTCTGCTATGATTGGCTGGTGATTTTCTCAAGGTTAAGCTTTGTTATTGTTTTTTCTTACGACCCTGATTCGGGACGTGAACATTAATGTAAATTGCTGTTAACGATTTCGGCTTGCAGTCAGCTCTCACCGCAATATGACATCAAGGGTTAGTTTGTAGGGATTCGACAGCGGATTCATGTCAGTTAGAGAACCATTGAAAAACCAGAGAGCACTGGACAGCTGCTTCGTCAGCTATATATATATATTATACATTACTGTTCCTTCGGATTCCTAGTGGAACATAGGGCTTCAACAACACATCTCCATTTTCTTCTTTTTTCTTCTGTCCTCTTCACCTGGCTGACCCCACTATCGCCCATAATCTCTCATCTCCTCCGCCCAACATACGATCTCCTCCATGTCACCCTAGGACGACTCACCAGTTGCTTCTCACTCAGATCCCACTCAGAGTCTGTCTGTCTGTTTTCAACATAGAACTTTGCACCGATGAGCAGCAGTTCAAGTCGCCAAACTCCCTCTTTGTAGCACACAAAAAAGAGAAGAAAGTAAAAAGAAAAGCAAAATAGAGACAGTAGACAGGTATATGTCTGTCTGTCTGTTTTCGACATAGATAGGTATATGAGACAAAAGGAAGAGTAATAACGAAGAACAATATAGTTTCATTGGATATTATAAGTCACAAGGAGTGGATACGTCTAACTGCGCCAGCCATTGAGAACGATTTTGAGCCATACGACTGATTGTCTCCAGCCATCAGTGTTTAACGTTTCGGGGATCCCAACCAGGAAGCTAGTCTACAGCTTCCTACGCGACTGACTGGTTGGCTGAAACTAACTGTTGTGGATATCATTGAGTGATGAGGCCATGTTTTGGTTTGACCACCGCTGGCTAGCTATTTTCCAGCCTGACCCTATGTCAACTAACGTTGCCCGTCATTCGAGGAAGGCGATCGGTAGCTAGGAATGCATGCGTAACACATGTCCTAACCATCTCAGTCGATGTAACGGTGCATTTTCAACCCATATCCATTTTTTCCTACATATTTGTTGAACGACAGGTCTTTGGTTTGCTTGTTTGTTTGTTCCCACAGTTTCTTGTTGCTGATCCTTTCTAGTCATTTGATCTTCGACATATGCAGCCAGTGAAGTCAGCTGTTGATGAAAGTCTGCAGCAGCCTGTTGGAAATGCTTTTCGTGATGCGCTAAGTTTGTGACCCAGTTTCAAACACTGTTTCTTCGTATGCATATATATGACGTAATTAAGTGTCCTCTGAGCTTCAGATTTTACATGAATTGCAAAAGACGAAATAAGAAAAAGATGAAGTCTCTTACCCTCTAATAAGCATAATAAACGATACACGAATTTATCTGGTCGCATACGAGCACTACGCTTCAAAAGGCGTACAAGACTTCGATTGGCTGCAATCGCTTGCATCAGCGCATTAAAGTAACACACATTTCTGGGATTTGGAAGTCCAACTGGCAAATCCGAGGAACTTCCTACAACAGCAAAAAAATGATTAACAGACGAAATTATTAACGCCAATAATTAAAAATACAACAAACTTCAAACGGTTTGAAAAAAAACCAAAGGGCACTGAGAACATAGGACTAATTGCAATAAAAAATTTTATGCTTCCTAGTGAATAGAAAACCATTACTTTGATAAGGCAATTAGTAGTATATCATGGAACATTAGGAAAAATAATACCAGTTTCTTTTTTATTCTTTAAGAAATAAGACACTTTTGTAAAGGGTAAAATTATAAAGCGAAATGGGTACTACTGTGGTACCCCCCTAGATTACCTCTAACTGTACGCTTATAAAACTAGCTCATTGATATAAAAATAGAACTTGTGCACTGTGGTAGATTATAATTCCATTTAGCGTAAATCATATCAATTTAATCATATCACCTTGATATGATTATGAACAGTGATAAATTGTGCTTGAAACGTTGTCATCAGTAAGTATTACTGTATAACACCACAGAGATTTTATCGAAATAAATTTTACTCCTAATGGAAAACTAATTCATGTATGCATATTATACGCCTACAGAAACCAACTTTACATATGCCAGTGGAATATTTGCTGTTGTATTATTAAACATAGCTTTTCGTTTGTTACACGCATATTTTACACGGTTACATACTCTTTTGCTTCGTTCCAGGCTTTTCTGTCTGTCTGTTTTCGACATAGAACTTTGCACCTATGTGCAGCAGTTCTAGTCGCCACACTCCCTCTTTGTAGCACACAAAAAAGAGAAGAAAGTAGAAGAAATGCAAAATTGAGGCAGTAGACAGGTATATGAAACAAAAGGAATAGTAATAACGAAGAACAAAACAGTTTCATTGGGTATTATAAGTCACAAGGAGTGGATGCATCTGCGCTAGCCATTGAGAACGATGAGTTTGAACCACATCACCAATTGTCTCCAGTCGTCATTGGTTTTTACCGTCCCGAGGACCCCAACCAGGAGGCTAGTCTACACCTTCCTACGTGGCTTAAACTAACGGCTGTGGATTTCACTTACTGGTGTCATGTTTTGGTATGACCACCAATAGCTCATTTCCAGTCTGACCCTATGTCAGCTAACGTTGCCCGTCAAGGAAGGCGATGACAAAGTATACGTAACACATTTTCTAACCATCTCAGTCTATCTAGCTTCACAGCTTCGTCTATTGATCTCCCCTCCTTACCAAGCACTCGACAGGTTCCTAAGCTAAATATACTGCCCATCCTATTATACCACTTCGCAGGGGAGATAGAACGCAGGCACCTATGATCAAAGACAGCTAGCCTTTTCACGTCTTCTACTTTCAATAGCCATGTCCCACTCACAGCCATAGAGGGGGACGGAACGGACTGCTGAGCAATACACCCACGCTTGTCGAAACTTCATTTCGTTAACAATACATCTTTTCAAATTTTCACTTGTGCTACTTCATACAACGTTATTTGTCTTTGACTATATACAGCGTTAACACACCGTAGAACGTGAAAACGTGGATGTACTACAGTATTACAATCGGGATCATGATAAGTACACTATGCCACACACCCTAAAAGCAGACTCAAAATTGATGCACACATTTCACGCCACATGACATTTTTGAACGGAAACACGCTTTCAACATAGAACTTGGCAAAGAAAAGTGAAGCAGTCTCATTCTGCACATTCCCTAAAGCACACATACACACAAAAAAGGTTGGCTAGACAAGAAACTCAATGAAATCATAATATACGGAAAAGAATAATTACATGGGGAAAATCGCAAACTGATATTATCTGTGCTACTGAATACAACTGGGAACCACGTCACCAACAGTTTCCAGCCACCGGTTCTCACAGTCTCAAGGATAACAGTCAGGTAGACTCCGCAGCCTAAACTAACAACCAATAACTTAATGATTTGATAACAAATTTTAGTTTTACCACCCTCAACTCTCTTCCAACACAATCTTATGACAGCCAACATTGATAAACCTAAGCGCTGATAGATAATCATGCGTAACACGTGTCCGAGCAAACTCAACCGATTTGGTGAGACTGCATCGGTAAAACAAACTATTAACTCCATCACGGTGTCTTCTAGTCCCATTGTAGACCGTATGCTACTACTCTTACGTACTTCTCTATATTCAGTTACTAATCTCTCACACTTCGGCTTTTATTTGTATACATACCGTATACTCTCATAACAGTCAGTGAACATGTTTAAATCTAGATTCCTCCACATATATTGAACTAGTCAAGATGAAACTGTTGATGACAGGTAGTCATCTCCAATCAAAACATTGATAACAGTGATGCAGGAGGACCAAGTCAATTAAAACGCAAGGAGAACAGATATAAAACACGACAAGCTATAGGGAGACATGACCCTGAAATTCAGTCTATTTGAAAGCATACTAAGACAGGCAAAAGTCAAAAACGAGAAGAAATGATCCATGAACCTCGCTTATGATAAACTGGAGATTTTAAGTTTTTTTCATTATTATATAGTAGAACATGAACTCAAAATTATTTGGCCGACTGTTGTATTGAGAATTGTTCTCAACTTTTCCTGCATTCAGAATAAACCTGAGAGGTAGTCATGCAAAGTTTTGGGGGATATGATAGAATAAACAGAGGTGGTTGGTTAAATTAACCTAAGTTCCATATCTGGAGGAATATCTGCTGTAACATAAGACAATTAAAGAGACTTACTACTACGATTAAAGTTTAAACTCCTGGAAAACACCTCAGTAGTCTTTTGACGTTACAAGCTTTATAGGCATCTCCAGTGAGACGAAAATGCCAATGTTAATCTAACATATGAAGGTTGTTACGTAAGATCAAAGTATAGACTCAAGCAAATGACAGATTAAATGTTGCTGGACAACCAGTCAGATGAGCCACATTATCTTCATTTTGTATGATAATACCGTTTGTACAACAGGCAATTAAGAAGGACCAATCATCCAGCCATTTTACTGGAAATAGAGGTAAATATATGCAACACAATTCAAACATATGTAGATAACGAAATGAAAGAAGCGAAGGATATATGACCAAAAGTGATTCGAATCACCTCTTCACCCAGAAAATTCTACAGTGCGCCAGAAGGAAACGCTGATTGCGTCATGATCCATTTTCGATGCAAGTCAAATAAATAACCGTCAGATATATATATATGTAAACACCCAAATAATTTTACGGGGCAACTCAATGCAAAAATTTCAGGGTGATGCAACATTTTTCCTCAAGCCCCCTAAAAACCAGCAATTTCGCGTACTTAAGTAAACCAAATTTCTTATTTGGGTGTACTTATATATATATATATATATATATATATTTATCGCATTCAAAGACATCGTTAATGATACATTTTACAACTAGAAAAGACGATACGACAGAGCCGTACTGGAAAAAACATACAACTTACGACAAAACCTTTTTCTATCCTTACGAAAAAACAGGACGAATATACCTCCAGATATGACGACACTTCCTATAATCACGACAAGTGAATCACAAAGTCGTTTAACTAAACAGTATTAGACGAAAAGAAAGAGGAATACCATAAAGACTAGAGAAGGCCATACTACTCAACTCCCACACCAAGGCTAAGTGATGGAAAATACCGTTGTTCGTTGAAACTTTGCCATTGTTTCAATCTCCAATGGGGTGAGGATATAGGTTGTGCGAGTTATATGATGTTTTTACGAGCTAGCGTAAGCCAATTTTATTTACTTGTGCTCGCTCCTTGATTGTGGTGTAAAGTTTCCTAGTCTTTGCTAAAATTCTGCGTAGTTCGTCTCAACAATCGAGTGTCGTAGCTTTGGTCGACTCCCAAAGGAGTGGTTCTGGGATTAATTGAATGTTTGTAGTTTGCAGTGTGTTAAGACTTTATTTCTACTGCAGAAGGGGTTGATCCTTTCACAAGTTAGTCCACCGGTATCGTCATCAAAATAAAAGAGATAATAATAATAGTAATAATAGATATAATCAGTAAAGTTATTCAGACTAACAGACAGAAAAAGAAATGAAGAAAGGGTAAAAACATACAACTAATTAAATTTGAAGTCACTATATGTATATATATGTAAATTGGTGGATTGAAATCATGTCCTGTTTAAAAATGAAAGCGTTGCGAACCATATTTCTCATTTCTTTTGTAAGATACTATTTTGGTTCTGCTTTTAAGTCGATTATAGGATTCCTCTTTATCGTTCCAATTTTAGGATATGTACCGCCGAAGAGAGATACTTGCTTGCTAGGCTACTAGCTTACTAGTTTTCTAGCCGGTCCCAAGCCCGGGTAAAGAGGGAGGGTTGGGGCGTGGTGCTAGCAACTCCACCCCTGTAAAACAACCAAATCGCTACAGAAACTTCAACGAATAAATATATTAAAAATTCTAAAAACATAAGCAATAGCCTTACTTTTCGCTGGAATCGGGGAAGTGAAATGACGCAGGCTGGTGAAAGCCTTCGGGAAGCCAGTCAGCCGATGTGCCTTCTTTCGATGAAAGCAAAAGTAAGGATGGGTACCTGGAATGTTCGTACAATGTACGAAACTGGAAAGGCTGCCCAGATAGCCGCTGAAATGAGAAGGTACAGAATAGAAGTGTTGGGAATCTGCGAAAGCAGATGGAACGGAACTGGAAGGTGCCAACTACCTACTGGAGAGACAGTAATCTTTTCCGGCCACCCAGAGGACAACCACGAGCACACCGAGGGAGTGGCCATCATGATGTCACCAACAGCAGCCAAAGCTCTCATGCAGTGGGAACCAATCTCCTCCAGGATAATGACAGCCAGGTTCAACTCAAAAGGAAGGAAAGTTACAGTCATTCAATGCTATGCGCCTACAAACGTCTCAGAACAAGAGAAGAAGGAGGCGTTCTACAGACAACTACAAGCAATAATGGACAACGTCCCAAATGGCGATATCAAAATCCTGATGGGCGACATGAATGCGAAGCTGGGACGAGACAACACAGGAAGAGAACTCACCATGGGTCGTGAGGCCCTCGGTGAAATGAACGACAATGGTGAACTCTTCTCAGACTTCTGCGCCTTCAATGATTTGGTGATTGGCGATAGTGTGTTCAAACACAAGGATATACACAAGACGACATGGATTTCACCAGATGGAAACACCAAGAACCAAATAGACTTCATCTCAATTTCAAGAAAGTGGAGACGGAGCCTACTGGACACAAGGTCAAGGAGAGGAGCAGATGTGGGTTCAGACCACTATCTAGTACAAGGGACTTTCAAGGTGAAACTAAAAGCCTCGAGGATAGCTGGGGATAGGCCACAATGCAAGTTCAACACTCATAAACTGAAGGACACAACCACAAAAGACACTTTCACTGCAACTGTCAGAGCAAAGCAGGAAACACTACGCGACATCACTGAAGAATCATGCGTGGAAGAACATTGGAAGTCTCTGAAGGCGATTCTCAACGAAACGTGTTCAACGGTTCTAGGAAGAAAGAAGAGACAAGACAAGGAATGGCTCTCAACGGACACTTGGAAATTAATAGAAGAGAGGAGAATGGTGAAAGAGAAAATGATTCAATGCAAGGACGGACAGGAGAAGGAGACGCTGAGCTCAACTTACAAAGCACTGGACAAAGAAGTGAAGAAGAGTGCTAGGAAGGACAAAAGACGATTCTACGACAATCTAGCTACTGAAGCTGAAAAGGCAGCAGGCAAAAGGGACCTGAGGACACTATATCAGATAACCAAATCTCTATCCGGGAAGAGACCAACACAAGCGAAACCTATAAAAGACAGCCAAGGGAACCCATTACCAAGGAAGAAAAACAGATTAAACAATGGGCGGATCACTTCAAAGGACTCTTGAACCGACCATCACCTGCAACCCGTCCAGAAATACCAACAACAGCGCGCACACAACTGCAAGTTGACACCAATCCTCCAACGAGAGCTGAAGTCTTGAATGCAATCAAGCTTCTGAAAGCTGGAAAAACAGCCGGACCAGATGGAATACCCCCTGAAGCACTGAAAGCAGACCCAGAGACGACAGCAGACATGCTGACTCCATTATTGCAAAAGGTCTGGAAGGAGGGAAAGGTGCCTACTGACTGGAGGAAAGGTTACCTCGTGAAACTACCAAAGAAGGGCGACTTACGCCTCACTCTGCAAGAACTGGCGAGGAATCATGCTCCTATCGACGCCAAGTAAAATCCTGAGTCGCATCATCCTGGAGAGATTAAAGGACGCACTGGAGACAGAACTCCGACCAGAACAAGCTGGATTCAGGAAAGGCAAATCATGTACTGACCAAATTGCAACTCTACGCATCATCATCACAGAACAAAGCATGGAATGGCAATCAAACCTCTACCTCAACTTTATAGACTTTGAGAAGGCCTTCGACAGCGTTGACCGTGAAGTAATTTGGAAATTACTCGAGTACTATGGCGTACCCCAAATATTCATCAACCTTATTCAACAGCTGTACGACAACGACACCTGCTAAGTGATCCACAACGGAAGACTCAGCGAGGCGTTTGGAGTAAACACAGGAGTCAGACAAGGGTGCTTATTATCACCAATGATATTCCTAATTGTGGTGGACTGACTGGATTATGCGTCAGACAGTGAGTGGGAAACGAGAAGACAGGGATATCCTGGACCGACGACGTGAAGAACCTAGAAGACCTGGATTTCGCGCGTGGATGATTTATGTTTGATGTCACACACAATCGAAGACTTACAAGCGAAAACCGACAAACTGGTCGAAGAAGCAGCCGGCGAAGACAGGACTCCATGTGAACATAGACAAGACGGAGGTTATGAAAATAACCAACCAACAACAACAGCAGCAGCAACATCCAGCGTCAATCACCATCAACAGGAGGGATTTGAAAGAGGTTACTTCATTCACTTATCTAGGGAGCATTGTCTCAACTACAGGAAGTCGGAACGGACGAGGATGTCAAATCGAGCGAAAATCGGGAAGGCGACGAGAAACGCATTCATCAACCTGAAACCAATCTGGAAATCTTCGTCACTCAGCATCACCAACAAAATTCGGATTTTCAATACAAACGTAAATTCAGTTCTTCTATACGGATCAGAAACTTGGCGGGTCACAAAGAATATTTCCAAAAGGCTGCAGACCCTTATTAACAACTGTCTTCGCTCTATACTGAAGATCAGATGGCCAGGCCGGAAAGAATCACCAACAAGGAATTACGGGAACAAACAAAGCAAGAACCGATCGCCCGAAAAATATGCAGGAGAAAGTGGAGATGGATCGGACAATCTCTGAGGAGGCCGCCACTGGGTGACATCGCGCGTCAGGCCATTGCTCGAGTGGAACCCGAAAGGGAAGCGGCGAGTGGGACATCAGTGTAAGTGTGATATGGAGAAGATCGTGTGAAGAGGAGTTGAAAGAATATGGACTAACATGAATGCAGGCGAATAGTACAGCAGAAGACAGAAGCAAATGGAGACGTGCAGCTGAAGCCCTATGTTCTACTAGGAACTCAAGGGGGCAATAATAAAATAATAATAATAGGATTCCTCTTCCCGTTAGCTCGTGACTATGCCAGGTTTTCGGTGCCACTGTATTCAGGGCAACTTAAATTCTCTCTGTAGCTTTCATCAAGTGAATGGACGTAGGAACCATGAATAAGAGATTTCCAGTGGCGACGAAATTTGCGGCGAATACATAACACCTTTTTCATTACACATTTTAACATAAATCACGCCTCGGTGAACTACCCCCGTCTTTCCCACGTGACCAACTTACTAAACACACGATTTTCCCCCTTTATAACAACCATTTCAGGCTTTGCGTTGTCTTTCAGTGCATCAGTGCATCGTTACATTTGAGGGAGATAAAAAGAAACTAATCCGTTGTTTCAATATCACCAAGTTCGCACATAAACAGGATTTTGGCATAAGTCATACGACAGGCTAGATTACTGCTGAAGACTAACAGTCGTCAATTCAAAATGCTTGTGTCATTCAGCTCTTTCACCGATGTTTGGCGCATATGGTAGTTGTGGATGATGGAGAAGAATTCGTAATTACATTTTCAAACAAAAGCCTTTTACTAAAGGCTTACATTATAACTATTGTTTTCAATGACAAGCTTGAAGCCATTTGTCTTCTCCTCATCAATATCATTCGGCAGTAGTGCCCTTGGAAATTTGTGTTTCGGAATTCGCTTGCATGGATCAAAGGCATGTTCCAAGGTATTATTAAAATCACACTAAAGTAATCTAAATTATCAAGGCACCTGGCTTAATGTCATAGTAGCAGTTTACTGATGGAAATGCGCTGCAGTTCGGTGAAGTGAGTTCGATTATATAATTACCCATAATCTATTTGACAACGTCAGTGTAGATTTCGTCAGGAATTAACATAATTTAGGAGATCACCGGCGGTTCATGGCGAATTCTCCATTTGCATTAATCCCAAACTCTGCAAAACATGTAATTTAAATATCAGACTAAGATATTGATTGAATGTAGTATATTTATACAGTTTCTGGGAGATAAGATACAAGTAAGTTTACTTTTTAAACCTGATGAACGGCTTGTCCAAAATAGGAGAGAG